GCCGGTCTTTGTCACAAAAACATACTTCTTTGTATAAGGATTGTTATGTAAATGCAGTTGTCATCGTAATTTACAATTATTGATCTGTCTAAGTGTTATTTTTTCAATAAATGTAAATATCTTGTTTGGTAAACAAAGGATGTAATTGAATCTGTAAGTTAAGACAAGTATGCGAAAACTACAGTTTTCCATTAGCTCAAGCCTAAATTATATTGTATGTAATGTAGCTTGTTATATTTCGTTATTTTTGTCACGTAAAAACATTTAAATTCTGTATGATGTATAAACATAAAAAAAGTTAACAACAAATTCATTTGAAAGTAAAGTTTAGACATTGGTACGGTCGACATTGGTACATTATCATTGGCGAAAATGCACATGCACATTAACATTAATGCGGCTATGTTCAGTTCAGTTCAAAAATCTTTATTCACATAAAAAACATTTTTTTATACAAATATTCAACCATGTGTTGTAAAACACGTGTGGTTGAAAAACTTAACACTGTCTTGAGTAGGTTCATTTTATTTCAACTGTCTTTTTTATGTTTAACTTTAAATTCACTGTCACTGATACCTTATATCTAATTAGATTTTTCTCAAACACTTATGGTTCATCCCTTCACTGGCTATTCACTCTTACATACTATTTTATATTTACAAATCGTTTAACGGTATATGCTACATTCGATAATTAATTATTTCACTTTGTTTGATTGAGTTATTCTTTATCAATTCCTTTAATTTATTTTTATATAATTCAATTTTCAAATCCTGCATATTTTTGAGTACTCTAAAATTAAAGTTAAAACATTTTACTACTTTATGGTAACACTGTAACCTGCTTGTGTCTTTCATAACAGGTGGTATCATAGTAAACTTTTTATCCTACTAATATTATAAATGAGAAAGTTTGGATGTATGGATGTATGGATGGATGTATGGATGTATGTTTGTGACAAGTGAACGCGAAAAATACTGGTCGGATTGGGCTGAAATTTGGCATGATGATAGCTCACATTACCGATTAACATATAGGCATATTCTTAGTTCAAAAATCCTTTCGGGCTCCGCCCCAGTGGCTCTGGAGTTTCCCATGTTAACCTTATGAGAAATGGAATTATTGAATCTTAACAGCTGTTTCAATTAAACAAGTTGGTTCTGTTCTATGATGTTCAATGGCATTAAAGTTACAAGGATTACCAACAGGGTGCAGCACTATTATTTCTTTTACATTTATGACAACAGCTAATTTGCAACCAAAAGGTGAGTGAGAGTAGCGAACGAACTTCAACCTGGAGGCGAGTTAGCGTAGCGAACGAGCTAACCTGAAGGCAAGCGAGTGCAGCGAACGAGCTCCAACCTAAAGGTGAGTGAGCGTAGCGAACAAACTTCAACCAGGACGTGATTGAGCCATGCGAACGAGATAATCTTGAAAATTAAGAAGTTAAACGGGACAGAGCCCGCGGGTTACAGCTATTTGAATATAAATATATCTTCTCTAGCTGCATTACGTCCAAGTACTGAAACAGTGGTGCAGCTGAGTCAAATTTCTTTACACCACAAATAGTTTTTAATGTAAGCTTTTGCATTATTACAATTGGTTTAAGTATTGTTGAAAACGTCCCTCCCCAATGAATTAAACCATACTTAAGAGTAGATTCAAACCAGGATAAATAGCGTTCTAAGAAGTTTAGGAGTAATAAACTGTCTCAAATGAAAGAAATTATAGTTAATTTTTCTACGTTTTTTACATAGTTGATTAACATGTGTATGCCATTTTAAATCTGAATCTATATGAAGGCCAAGATACTTGACCGAATCAACAAAATTTATTTTTGAACAGCAACAATCACGAAAACAAGTAACTAAATGACAACGTAGATCGATCTCTTCTTTCAACGACTCTGTCAAATGAGGTTTGTAAGTAAATATCATTGCATTAGATTTAGAAGTATTGACGATTATTTTGTTTCTTATCACCCAATTTGATATTACGTTCAAATCATTATTAATTTTCATCCTCAGTAAATCATAATTGTTAGCACTGCATACTAAAGATGTATCATCAGCAAAAGCATATATCTTCGATTTTAAATCCATTGATAACATGTCATTAATATAAATTGTGAATAAAATTGGTCCAAGCACTCCCCCTTAAGGGACGCCAAGCCTTTGAGAACATACATCTGAGTAAACGTTTTTTATCTTAACCATCCGTTTTCTTTCATTTAAAAAAGTCTCAAACCACTTAAAACTATTTCCCTGAATTCCATATAACTTTAGTTTATGTAATAATATGTCTTGATTAACTAAGTGAAATGCCTTAGTAAAGTCAAGATAAACTCCTATTGTTGGTTTACGCTCATCAACATGATTAACTATCTCGCTTATATGTCTTTCAACTGCTAGGTCAGTATTTTTACCTTTCATGAACCCAAATTGATTATTTGAAAATAAATTGTTATCTGAAAAATATTTAACTAATTGGCTTTTCACACAAGTTTCTAACAGCTTAGCAAAGGTATTTAAAAGTGATCGGTCGGTAATTATTCATTTGCAATGGATCAGCTGCCTTATATACTGGAACAATGAGTGCTGTTTTTAGACTAGAAGGAAAGTAACCTAGCTTTATACATAAATTAAAAATGTGACGTAATATTGGGACAAAAATCTTAACATTTTCTTTTATAGTATTTATGGAAATACCATCAAAGCCAACAGACTGTTTATTTGGTTTGCTTAAGATTAAACTTTCTAATTCTACCTCAGTAATTTCAGATAAACGTAACCTTGAGCTGCACGCTAGACCGATATCCGGCATGGCGGGGAATCCCGGCCCATACAATTCTCTAATCAGCTTATCCGGCATACCAGTAAAATTGTTATTGAATGAGTCAGCAACTATTTTTTCATTACCCTCAACCTGTACAATTTCATCATCTATATTAATCGATGTTAGTTCATTTTTTGACTTTCTCATAATAGATTTGCATATATTCCAATAAGACTTTGATGCAGCCCTTTACTGCTTCAATTTTAGATGAGTAATAATTAATTTTTTCCCGTCTTTTCAAATTAGAACATTCTCTAGAGAGTTCTTTATATCTATTAAACAAATGTATGTCATAGTGCTTTTTCAATCGAGAGTGAAGTCTGTTTTTTTCATTTATCTTTTTAATTAGTGTGTCCGATATCCATGGAGTTCGATGCCTATTTTTACTGTTAATAGGCCTTAAAAAACTTGATTGCTCAATACATTTATTATAAATATCGTAAAAAACTGTTAGAGATTTATCAACATCCTCACAATCAAACACTGGCATCCAGCTCACTTCAGCCAACCTTCTTTTTAAAATTGAATGATCTACAGCCTTGACAAACTCCTCTTTCAAAGCACTATCACAACTTGTTACGCAATTTACATTAACTCCAGCATGATCAGTAAAGTCATAGTTTTCTAAATTACTATGAAAAATTAAATTAGTCTTACTTCTAATGAATACATGGTCTAAACACTTTACCCAATTTTCTCTCCCCCAAGTTGGCTCATTTATAAACGACTCAAAACCAAATGAGTTCATTATACTTAAATAATCAATGACACTGTTATTTTGTTCTAAAATGCATAAATTTATATCTCCTAACATAATAGCTGTGTTTTTACAATTACTCAAAATACGTTGCAAATCATTGCGGAAAAAATAAAAATCATATTTATAGTTTCTATACAAAGCTATTAAGTCAATTTCAAAAGGTTTATCATTTATGGTAAAAACTAATGTCAGTTTAATTAATTCAACTTCACGTGACTGAAAGCGTTCATAATTTAAAGTTAAATGATTAGAAATATAAATTACCACTCCACCAGTCTATGTGTATAAGTTGAGACACGTTTGTAGAAAACACTAAAAAGGCAATCTTCTAAACAATTTTAAAATATTTACAACTTTAATTATATAGAAATGTTCATAACACAGTAAGTAATTCCATTAGTTGCATAAGCTTTTACGTGAGTCTTTTTAATTAATTGAAAATTAAGTCTGTAATAACTCTTAAAATAGCTCCTGTACCGGTACTTGATAATTGCTTGATTTCTAGCAACGAGTACACAAGTTAAAAATTCAACAATGCATTAACATAACAAGCTCTCTTTCAAGCTGCAAGACTAGTAAACGGCAGAAGTAAGGCAGAACGGCAGAACTGCGGTATTGGTTTACCATACACGCCTGCAACGATGCGCTGCAAACCGCGCGACGAGTAGCTAAATGAACCGTAGAGTAAGTGAGCCTTCTAATATTTGTAGAGGGTTCACTTACTCTACAGATCATTGTGCCAATGAACTGTAGAGTAAGTGAGCCTTCTTCTATTTGTGTAATAGTTATCATGAAATAGGCTCGTATAGTATACGAGCCTACTCCTGTAATTTATTTAAATTCAGTATTTTGGCTCGTATACTATACGAGCTTATTCCTGAATTATTCAAGAATTCATACGCTTGGCTCGTAGGCACAATGATCTGTAGAGTAAGTGAACCCTCTTAATTTATTTGATATTTTTGATCGGCTCGTATAGTATACGAGCCTGTAGTGCAAGTGAACCTTCAATATTATTTACGAAGCTCGTATAGACTATGATTTGTAGAGTAAGTGAGCCATGTGTTTTAAGAATTACATATTTGGAGGCTCATTGTGTCAATGATTCGTAGAGTAAGTGAACCCTAACCTTGCCATCCATCAAACAACTGCAAGCACCATTAGATTGAAAATGGTGGGATATTCTACTATGATATTTAAATTCACAAAAGAATTTCTTATTCTTTACCTAATTTTATCGTACACCGCCCCTTGCTGACTCCCAGAATTTGTGGTTTTCAGTATATACTCAAAATTAACAAAATAATATACTACTGGTAAACTGGTACTTTATTAGTATTTAAAATACATTAAAGTAATCTTGTGCGTCTTAATTTTATCTTCACATCCTACTTTATGTTCACAGGTATTGGTACACTACCTTGGGCAGTGATGGGTGAAATGTTCCCTTCCAATACAAAATCACTAGCAGCTGGAATCCTGACAGCTTTTAATTTTTTCTTGGGTTTTTTGACTTCATTCTTTTTTGTAGAGGTGAGTACAAAACTGTGCAACATATAATGTGAATGTCCTCCTGTGTTGGTTAATTTAATGTAAGTATGGTAGTTATAGAGTAAGTTAGCTAGTTAAAACATAATATTCTAGAGAACTTTTGAGAGCTCGGATGTCAAGAGGTAAATACACTCACTCTTTAGGAAACCCAGCTCATAGCAGTGACAGTAATACTGACCATTTCCAATCCAACCATAAACAAATCTACATCTGTTAACAGCTTTAACATGTTAATTAGACGTCACCTTTTCTCTATCCATACATATGTGTATCCATATTTAAAGTATCCAAAACCAATTTATTATTAATATAAATTAGGTTAGGTTAGGTACATAAATTTGTAAGTTAAACTCTTTGGTATTTTTAGATGAATCAATGGGTGGGTATCCACTGGTCATTCTGGATGTATGCGGCATTCTGTGCTTCAGCCGCACCTTTCACAAAGTTTCTCCTTCCAGACACTAAAGGCTTATCTCTGGATCAGATACAACAGATTGTAAACCGACCGTGGAACTGCTGTAGATCTATCAGTAGAGATACAGTAGACAGAATTTGATTACTTAACCTACTATGAAGTACAAATGAAATCTATACCTGAGGAATGGGGTTATGGGTAAATGAATCAGACATTCAGATATTCAGACATTCAGACATAGAATAGTATAAAAGTGTTTACGGTTCTGTTCCTCAGTACTATATTGACAGATGAATTTAGGTTAGTAACATAATGTGTTACGAACAATGATTATAAAAGCATGAAGGTTGTGTGTAAATTATTGTCCCCAGCAAGCTCCAGTAACAGTGCTGTAGTTAAGCTAGTTAAAACTAAATCTTGGCGTTTTTAATTTCCTTCAGTACCATTCTATAGCCAGTCCCCATCTCCCTGCCATCATTAACGGCTTCTACCACAACATTGAATACAGCAAAGAAGCCATGATTGCTTAGAAATAGAATAGTATTTTGAAGGAAGGAAAAAACTTGGAGTTGGTGTTAGATTGGTCATTGGTACCTAATTCCATCACAACAGGAGCTTAAGGATCTCGTTAGAGATCTTAATTTACAAGACAATCCTTAATTATAATTGTCTAGCACATCTCAGGTTTATATTTTGTGTTCTCCAATTATATGACTCAATTATGTCAATATTTTAACGTTGATGTCTACTGATGGTAAAGCTCTAACGTGCATGGTTACTTAGTCACAGATTTAACACAAAAGGTACCATGTGTATCTGAGAGACTTTCTTCCTATGGAACAAGAAGTACAAATTTAATAACTGTGATGCATTTTGTAAGCCACAGGTTAAAATTTTGTTCTTCCCTATGTGTGTTTTCCTGAGAAAACCTAAAAAGGGAAGCAGAGGTAAATATTTTTGTAAAATTGGTAACACATTAAATGTCAAATTTCTTCATGTCTGACGTATTTTAAAAGATTTTCATTACAGTTTTCACATATTGCAGTTAAAATATCTACACTACTAAATCATAATTATGCATGTAAGTGAAACATATACATTTTAAGCTTTTAATCTTGCAGTGATTAACTTTGATCTTGCATTAAATGCTGTTTACTTCAAAAGTAAAAAGAATATCCTGTTACTTTAGTGAGTATTTTATTTCAATGGGAATCTAAAAATTAAAAGAATGTTATAGACAGATTAAAATACATAGTTAAATTTGAGTGTATAGTATGGTAGTTTCTTGAAACTTCCATTCAAGGGTATTTATTCTATTTGAATATGGTGAGTGAGGAAAAATATATTTCTGTTAAGGTAAAGTAAGTAATTTATATTTTTTATGATTTATACTAACCTATTCTACATTGTAAATATTAAAACTGTAGATTTTAAGGGCCAAGGTAAAATCTTTGTACCGTATATTTCAAAAGTATAGCCTATGGCATGATAAATGAAATACTTATAATATTTTAATTAAAACACTAAAAGTATTTAGTACTTATTTACTTGTGGGTGAACCCAAAAATTTAAAGTACCTATGTTAAAAGTATCTGTGATTTATAATACTGTTTTATATTATGATGTTATGAATAAAAATTGTTATCATCTTGTGTACTTTATTTAAACCTCATTTAATGTAGGAAAAACATTAACTATCTTAATTGTGTGGCGAACTGTGTTGGATGAATGAAAAAATACAAATATGTTAAAGATGTTCCTAAGGCTTTTGATAATTTCTTACGAAAGGAAAATCTACAATTTATGTGGGGATACAATTTTGAAATGTATTAACTTATTTTGAAACATCCCCAACCTTACTAAAATGAGTTTTAAATTTGTTTAGACCTAAAAGAATACAAAATGTAAACATAAAGACAACAAACACTATCACAGAATTAATTAACTTAACAAACTGTGTTATCTAACTTGTACACAATCAGTGATAATCTGTGACTATTAATGTAAGCAAGTGGCCAGTTCAGTTTATCTTAACCCTAACAGCAAACAGACTGAAAAACATTTCTAACAGCTTTGTGTTGTGACAAAAAAGAGCAACAGACGAATGGAAAGAAGATTAAAACTAACAGCGCTTGACTTTGAAAGAAAAGTGGATCTTAAACAGTACAGGTTAAGGAGGGATCACAAGAAAGGAATACGATGTGTAGATCCTGATGAGAGAATACGGCAGCAATACTTCCGGGTGTGGGTTAGAGAGAAGATACACAGACGTAAGTTTTAAATTTGATTTAAATTAGTAATGACACATTTATTTGTGCTTTGACAGATTCTTAATCCAATCATATTATTTTAGGGCCTTAAGTGCCTCATTTACTTCTTCTATCTCTTTTGTTGAAATGTAAGCCTGACAATATTTTTTTAAGTTTCTAGTTTCTACATAATTACAAAATAATGAGAATCAGAAAACACTTGCCAATTTAAATGGAGACAGACAGATGATGAGTTGTGTGGTGTAGGTCAGATTTGAACTATGGATGACATAAGTCAAATGCACTGTATTTTATCATGTTCAGTAAATGTTATTTAAGCGCACAAATAATGCATAACAAATATTGTTTTATTTACAAGTTACAGAGTACTTAATTAAACCTTCTGGGTTTAAAAATGCAGTCAGTGACAGTGACATCTTCAAATTTGTATGTGTTATAATGTAAAGTTTGTCCAGGGAGAAGTCTTTTCCATTTAGGTAAGCCTGCTATCCTAAAAAAAATCCTGTAAACCAAGACACTTGTGCGCTATATGCTACATCAAAACCTTACATTGTTATAAGGATAGCACAAGCACACATAACTACATTTTCTGGTAAATTTTTTTGTTTTTTGGTAGGTAAAATTTTTTTGAAATCTATTTTGATGTATTCCTGAACAACGTAATTATCAGCCCATTTTCTTTTTCAGAAAATCGCTTCGCTCTTTTGAACCTTGCTTTTGTAAGTATGAATTTAAATATATTTTCAAAAATAAAACTGAAACCACTCCTTCAATCACCTGAAGTTCTTTCAGTTAATAGTGGTTCTGTATTTTTACTTGGACAGTAATTTATTCATTTTATTTATGGTAGTACAATGCTAGCATTGTAATTTAACATGAATACTTTTTAAAATAGTATTTAATTGATGACCTAGCTTACAGAAGGTAATACTAAATTACTTGCTAGGGATGTCCGATGTAATATTTCATCACTACTAAGGTGACTATTTTTGACTCAAGGGTTGGCAGAAAAAGTGAAGCTGAGGTCAGTGAAAGAAAGAGTGAGGCCAAAAAAATGTTTTTTTGTTTTCTTTATTTGCTCTAAAAATGGTTGAGAAGAATGTGTTTACAAAATCACAATAAACATTAAAAGTGTTAAACTGATGGGTCAGATTTTAAACTATAAACATTACAACAGCTGATGTATTTCCTAGTCTGTCCTGGTTGGCTCCCGGTCTATCAAAAACTGTGCAGTATGAAGCTTGCATTTAAATAGGTTGCATGAATTAAATGAATGAAATGAGATCTTAACACGTTCGCTACTGCAATAGTATGAAATTTTTCATTCACATGGACCAGCGACGCACATATGCAACGGCCAGTTTCCCCCCATAGACTGCCGTCGCCACATTAAAATAGACTGCCGTCGCATATTTGCGTTGGGGTTCTAATGTTATTAAAATGCTCATATCTTTGTAATGGCCTATTTGAAGGCACTGAATTCTCTGCAGTGGTCTACAGAGATGTCTGACACACAACTGCGTTGCTTGGACTGTGGATGATTGGTGATGTCATATGATAGTTGGAAAAACTGGTCTTTACTTTTCTGCATCACTGCATGTATGTATGCAGTATTTATGAAGCAATATCCTATGTAGCTTTTATATTTGTTCAGTTATAAACTGTTCTTGAATAATCTGTTTTTTTTTACTTACTTTCACTTTCACCTCAAAACACAAACAAAATGAACTGTCGTATAGCCTATATGTTACGTTTGGTATATTTCAAGAAAACTATGATAATTTTCACTATTTTCTTCGCTGTAGACCGGGTGTCACAAATATGTGACATTACAAAAAGTTATGAAAAATACAAAAAAACAAGAATAAACTAGGTGGCGTTCGCAGAGGCATCCACAAGATTGAGCGGAGTCATCAAGGGTTCATATTATATTGTTTTTGTCTTACTGCAGTAAAAACAGTATTTTTTCATGCATGCGCTGCGGGTCTAAAGTAGCATTTTTAATATTTAGGGAGTAAAAATCGTTTTAGCCTCTATGGAGTAAAAATCAGCTGTTGTCAACTCAGTTGTAAATTTCGATTGTAACCGAATGCATGTATCGAAAATATGTATCGATTTGTGCTTCGTAATCATTTTTTACATATTACAGTCTACAGTCTCTTCCCGTAGCATTTTTGCATTGCAGATACATTAATCCATTCCCAAACTCAACACTGCTCACATTTACTACTTCCTTCACCACACCCTACATCGTGGACCTGTTTCCCTCTCTTCCCATAGCATTTTAAGATTGCAGATACCTGAATCTAATCGTCATAAACAGATCCCACACTCCGAACAGCTCGCCTTTACTACTTCCTTCGCCACTTCCCACATCGCGGACCTGTTTTCCTCCCTTCCCATAGCATTTTAGGATTGCAGATACCCTTATCTAATCGTCATAAACAGATCCCACACTCCGAACAGCTCGCCTTTACTACTTCCTTCGCCACTTCCCACATCGCGGACCTGTTTTCCTCCCTTCCCATAGCATTTTAGGATTGCAGATACCCTTATCTTATCGTCATAAACAGTTCCCACACTCCGGACAGCTCGCTTTGACTACTTCCTTCACCACTTCCTACGTCACGGGCCTGTTTCCCTCCCTTTCCCATAGCATTTTTGATTGCCCATACCCTTATCTAATCGTCATAATAGTTCCAACACTCCGGACAGCTCGCCTTGACTACTTCCTTCACCACTTCCTACGTCGCGGACCTGTTTCCCTCCCTTCCCATTGCACTTAAAGATTGCAGATACCTTAATCTAATCGTCATAAACAGTTCCCGCACTCCGGACTACTCGCCTTGACTACTTCCTTCACCACTTCCTACGTCGCGGACCTGTTTTCCTCCCTTCCCATAGCATTTTAGGATTGCAGATACCCTAATCTAATCGTCATAAACGGTTTCCACACTCCAGACTGTTCACCTTTACTACTTCCTTGACCTCTTCATACGTCACGAACCTCAAGCTAGTGTCGTCATTTGATTATAGTACCTGGGGACCGAGCTTTGCTCGGGGAAAATCATTAGTTCACTCTGAAAGCACCGTAGTATTGGAGATACATAAATCCACACATCTACATCCTACACAATTTCCTACGTCATGGACCTGTTTCCCTCCATTCCATTGCATTTAAAGATTGCAGATACCTTAATCTAATCGTCATAAACAGTTCCCACACTCCGGACTACTCGCCTTGACTACTTCCTTCACCACTTCCTACGTCGCGGACCTGTTTCCCTCCCTTCCCATAGCATTTTAGGATTGCAAATACCTTTATCTAATCGTCATAAACAGTTCCCACACTCCGGACAGCTCACCTTGACTACTTCCTTCATCACTTCCTACGTTGCGGACCTGTTTTCCTCCCTTCCCGTAGCGTTTTAGGTTTGCTGATACCATAATCTAATTGTCATAAACATTTCCAACACTCCGGACAACTCGCCTAGACTACTTCCTTCACCACTTCCTACGTCGCGGACCTATTTTCCTCCCTTTCCATAGCATTTTAGAATTGCAAATACCTTAATCTAATCGTCATAAACAGTTCCCACACTCCGGACAGCTCACCTTGACTACTTCCTTCATCACTTCCTACGTCGCGGACCTGTTTTCCTCCCTTCCCGTAGCATTTTAGGTTTGCTGATACCTTAATCTAATTGTCATAAACATTTCCAACACTCCGGACAACTCGCCTAGACTACTTCCTTCACCACTTCCTACGTCGCGGACCTATTTTCCTCCCTTTCCATAGCATTTTAGGATTGCAAATACCTTAATCTAATCATCATAAACAGTTCCCACGCTCCAGACAGCTCGCCTTGACTACTTCCTTCACCACTTCTTACGTCACGCACCTGTTTCCCTCCCTTCCCATTGCATTTTAGGATTGCCCATACCCTTATCTAATCGCCATAAACAGATCCCTCACTCCTGACAGCTCGCCTTGACTACTTCCTTCACCACTTCTTACGTCGCGGACCTCTTTCCCTCCCTTCCCATAGCATTTTAGGATTGCCCATACCCTTATCTTATCGTCATAAACAGTTCCCACACTCCGGACAGCTCGCTTTGACTACTTCCTTCACCACTTCCTACGTCACGGGCCTGTTTCCCTCCCTTTCCCATAGCATTTTTGATTGCCAATACCCTTATCTAATCGTCATAATAGTTCCAACACTCCGGACAGCTCGCCTTGACTACTTCCTTCACCACTTCCTACGTCGCGGACCTGTTTCCCTCCCTTCCCATTGCACTTAAAGATTGCAGATACCTTAATCTAATCGTCATAAACAGTTCCCGCACTCCGGACTACTCGCCTTGACTACTTCCTTCACCACTTCCTACGTCGCGGACCTGTTTTCCTCCCTTCCCATAGCATTTTAGGATTGCAGATACCCCCCTAATCTTATCGTCATAAACAGTCCCCACACTCCGGACTGCTCGCATTTACTACTTCCTTCATATCACTTCCTACGTCACGGACCTGTTTCCCTCTATTCCCATAGCATTTTATGATTGCCTTTACTACTTCCTTCACTACTTCCTACGTCACGGACCTGTTTCCTTCCCTTCCCATAGCATTTTAGGATTGCAGATACCTTAATGTATTCGTCATAAACAGATCCTAGACTTCGCACTGCTACCCTTGACTACAATGTATCGAGTAATCTTAAGTATAATCTTTGCTCAATATTAACAAGTGATGTTTTTTCCTTTTGTACTGTATTTGTAATTTCCTAGTATACTGTGGGTAGTTGGCTTATTATGAACACATGCTAAAACTTCAAATCTTTTGTTTACTTTTTACTTGTTATTTAATTCAGCCAACATGGTTACCTAGCAACCCATAAGACTAATGTTAAGAAAATGTGATTTTCAGTTTCATTTTTCTACGGATTCCTGAGAGACTTTTTTAACGCCATATAGATGTTGGCACTCACCGATATGGTCTTTATCACCATGCAAAATTTGAAAACGATTGATTCAGCCGTCTAGGAGGAGTTTGCGTATTACGAAATGCATAAAAGTCGACGTATAAGAGCTTCGCTCGCTTCGCTCGCTCCGCTCAATTATTTACAAACACGATCGTAGCGTATTACAATGTAAATGATCACTGTTTTACAGGTTTTTGCCCGTGGTCTGTGTGTACTGTTATCCAAATGACAGCCGGTCTATGTGTAAGATTCAAATGTATACCTCGGTCTGTGGCAATGACCGCGGCGTCGCATATAGCCTATGCGAGGCTCAGTAGCGAACGTGTAAAATAACTAAGGGAAAATAAAATAACGTTTTCCTACAGTCACCTGACAAAGTGGGCTTCCTTGCATTGATTAAAGTACAGAAAGTTGCTAATTGCTGCATTTACTTTTTGCCACACTCATTTTACTTTTGCAGCACTTTTTTAGCCACACACCAGTATTCCAACCAAACAACACAAAACAGCGTGCTTTTATTAGGCACCTAATACGTAAGTTTTATACACTTGAAAATAAGTTGGCAACACTAAAAGATACTGCGACTATGATCAGCTGTTGCAGTGTTCCCTTGTTGTTCAACGCTTGGATTTAGCCTAGAACCTAAAACGTGTTCAAAATTCATGTTTTCGGCCCAGAAAACATGTTGCAAGCTTTAAAAATGTTGTCTTCGCAACGAAACATGTAAGCTGTTGAGCAATATCATTTTTAAACTATTTGATTGAAGTACCGGTATGTAAAAAACCTATTATTGTCTTAAAACGTGTTGTTTAGTATTTGAAAGACTAATTATTTCTATGCTTTATAATAACTGTAGGAAAAATATAATGTGTAACACGATTGCAAATTGCCTTTGCTGCACTCGAGAAACTTTCCACGTAAATATTTCTCTCATGTGCATTAAAGTGCCACTTTGCACACTAGTTAGTTATCCACACACAAATATCCACAAATATCCATTTAAATATCTACGTCAAAATATTTTCAGATGTTGGAAGAGCATGGAGTGAACTTTGGAGTAAAGGGGTGGTTCATGGACACGCGAGACAGTCCTTTTGGAGTACACGGTGTCGTCGAAGGAACCAAAACGCAATTTAAGAGATTGTAAATATTATTTTTATTTCCCTATCTAAAAACATAGGTTAAACATTTCCTTATTAAATTTATCATCATCAAGGATCAGATAAAGACAATGCTCATTTATGCACTAGGATAGATTAACAACTCTAACAATCTAACAGATCAATCTTGTGTTGGTTCTATGGTGTTATAGCCAAAGAGTAGAGCTCACATTGTAAAATTTACCCTTAAATAAGAGGGAAAGATTTAATTGACATAAACATACTCGATTACTGAACATTAACCAACTTTAGGATTGATAGTAAGATAAGAAACCTAATTGTGGTTAAAGCAACGAAACTTCTCTTGCTAAAATTGTGGTGTCCCGTCTGTTAAAGTTTACCACCTTTTAATTAATTTTATAAAATATATAATTCCAATAATTGATAGGGAGCTTAAAATATTTTTTTAAATTTATTAATGATGTTTAATAGGTACTTTTAATGTTTTTCTGTGTGCTGAATTTTTGTTCCCATCCTTTATTTTCAGTAAGATAGTTATTTTAGTGAGCACCATGATGAATAATGTCACACTTTTAGAACTGTTTAGAACTAAACAGTAATAAATACCAATTATTTACTTGTAGTCAAGATATGAACGAAAAATTATAGCTAAGATAAAATTGTTCAAATGTTGATCAGATAATATAAGCTTCACCAAGAGCTTTTATTTATAGTGTCTGTTCTGTCGTATTTTTGATTTTTGCCTATTCCTTTTATCAATACTGACGCAGGCACCAATTTTTCTGTAATTAAAATTGTATAAAACAGACAATAGTAAACTACATTGTTAACCCATGTAACACATATTTATTGGCAATTTTCTAGTCTAAGCTTCATGGAGGACTGGAAAGACGAAGAAGTAATAGACTGCTATGTTAGGAACAAACACGGATCATATATAGAAAACTATACTTTTGATCGCCTTATGTACAGTAAGTATTTCAAAAAAATTCTCCAGGCAAAAAAGGTGGTTAACATAATTTCCCAGGTACCATATCAGTAGGGCCTATAATGTGCGAGGTTTGGTAGTAAATGTGTTGAATAAGTAATTCATAAAACACAAGGAAAGTATGTGTTAACCAGTAATAATGATTCCTCGTCTTAACTATAAAATACATCTTCTTACAGTACAATATATTACACTAACACACATACTGTGCGGTGTAGTTAAATATTATAGAGAAAAAAAACTAGCATGGGTTTTTATGAGAGGTGATTTCCGATAAATGAATGCAACAATGGCAAAATAACATATGATCATGTAATGGGAATTACAGAGAGACTGTTAAGAACAAAGACATTTCAATGGATACAAAAACACAAAGGTCAGTTTACTGAACACATACATTTCAGAGTTTTGTGAGTCGGTTGCTCAGACAGTAGAACATCAGTTTTTGTACCCAATGCTGAAAGTTTGTAGGTTCACGCCACTAAATTTCATCAGTACTTTTAAGTCTCATACTGTACCAGCTTACCCTTTTTTTGCTCAACACTTTTACCCATAGAAGATTCAAAGAGACCATTAATCTCTACAGACTAAGAAAATTGGCATGAGAGAATTGGGTTGAACCCCCGGCGTATTTGAACAAATTTCAGACCTTTGGGCTGTTTTCCTTTAAAAGCACAAAATACCAATGGCAAAAACAATAATGATTGAACCAAAATTCAAAAAATTTGTAAATCAATATACAAGTGGCTGTTATTCCGTATAATTTTATAAAAAAATCTAATCAAATCAATTAAGTTTTTGAAGTATACTAAAATAAATAGTTATAACAGTTCAAACAATTTGTTCAAACAGTTTATTACAAAAACTTGACACATCATGGTTTTGTTTTCAGTTGAAGATCCATACACTTATCACTCTAATACAATGGAGGTAAAAAATGTTGATAGTGTGTTCGATGGAATACTGAGATGAAAAACACAAGATTTTTAGATTTGCTTAGCTTGATAAAAATAATGTAAATTTTTTGTCTATAAGTCATGACGGTGACTGTGGTGAATTTGTGGAGAAAGCTAATATAAACAATAATTAAAATATAAAACTGTGCCTTTATGTATCTTTTAGTTAATCATCCTTCTTTGAAAATAGTTAATGTGACTCAGTTTATATGTAAAAGCAACTCTGACACTTAAAATATGAAAGTAAACTTTATAGATAATGCAAACATTATTTATATTATAAAATAGCAAGAAGTTTTACTTTGACAATTTTCCTGCACACAGAGATTTAATTACAGTAGTACCCAGTGCTCGATTTGAGGGGAACGCGGAGGAACAGAGTTCCGGTACCTCTCTTTCGGAAAGATAAAAGTTTTTGCATACATAGGTACATAAATAGGCACTAATTACATTAAATAGGTTACATAGGTTACAGTTTCGGCACCTTAATTTTTAAAAATCGAGCACTGGTTGTACCGAGCATTAACACAAATTTGCGCAGATTTGGTTGTGAAAAGAATGGACTGCAGTTTTCAGTGCCCATACTTATCTCCGTCTTTGCTTTGTAACACGTTTTTCCGATTTTCCTCTACTTGCGCAAGTGCACATACACACACACACACACACGCACAGACACGATAACACATGACTGTGTGAGGGAAGGTTGACAGTAAGGCTGACACCAATACATATTTCTGACTCAGATATTTATTGAAATATATAAAATTGCAATCAAAACTCAACACTCTGTTTTATAGGGCTTAGAAAAAAGTGTTACCTTAGAATACATTAGCAACATAAGTCTGATGTACCAAATAAAACATTCTGTTAAAATACACAAATGTCACACAATTGTTCTAGTTTGATACTATATCGTAATTTGTTCAATCACAAAAGGAGTAATGAGAAATAAATCATGAAAAATGGTGTTTGGATAAAAATACAAGATTGTGAATTATGCTATAAAGGAAGGTTACAAAAATAAACCTCTATGGTACATTTCTATGATAAATTAGAAACATATACATACATTTTCAAAAAGTCTAATATTACTGGAGGAAACAGATCAACTTGTTAAATAAGAAATTAAAGAAACATTTAGTCATACAAACTGATACTTAAATAATGGAAGAATGTAGGAAGGTTTTTTTTAAAGGTACCAAATAACTAAATAGTGAACTCTTAACAATAATGAACAAATTAGTCATGGATATTATACATACAATATTTAAATATATTACAAAATCACAGCTTTATAACCTTAACTACTTTGCATATACACAATTATATACAAATACGATAATATTGTAAAAATATTTATGCCTAATGTTAAGAGTGATCATTCTAGAAAGGTTTAATGTATTTTTTCAATGTACAAAATATGTTGTCTGAATTTTTGAGGTTGTCATCAAAATACCAAATTTTAAGCGATCAGTTGAATTCCAATATCACCTCTTATGACCATTTTATCACTTTTAAAAGTATGAATTTAGTTTTTGTAAAACTTTTATTTGTAAAAAACCATCTGTTTATCTATTTTGGGACTTATAGACAACCAGTATTGCTACAACAGTACAACACAAAAAGCAAATGTAAGTAAAAAATAAATTAACAAAATACTAAATTGTGGAATATAGGCCTACATACAATTTTTAATTACCAAAAAGATTATACAACATAATTATGGATAAACTTGTCTTCTATTTCATTCTAGGGAGCTTTTCCTAAAGCTATATAATGACATGTTAGAGCATTCAGCATATTATAGTTCAGGCTTTACTTTTGCTTACTAAACTAATAACCTATACATACAAACTTTTAAAATAGCCCGGAAAGCTATTAGGTAGGCCTACTGCCATTCAATGGAATACAGCCCTTCCTGCTTTCCCTGCCAAAATTATCTATCCATGGTCAGAATGTGCTGGTTCAAACACATACATGTGTTTGTTGGACAATAATACATAATATAATACAATAATGTTGGACAAACACATACATGTGTTTGATGTCGAAATCACATCAAAATACAGTGTTTTCAGCATTTTCAAATAGTGGCAACAATAGCTGCATCTCTCTTGTGAAATCAAACAAACTTATTCAGCATAAGAAATTTAAACTACTTGAAACGTGTATGCATACATTGTAGGACAATTGCTAAAAATTATCATTGCGAAACTGGGTTTAAAATGTAAAATATTTTAAAGTAGCACTCCACTTCTACATAATAAAATATATTTACTTCTGGCTGTGCAGTGCCATAAGTAGAGGGTGGTAGGCTAGGTGCTATTATGGACAATGTTGAATATAGTTAGTTTCTTGCGAGTTTTAGTATAGATGTAGCACCAGTCAGCAATGGTTTGACAATATAATATTTGAGACTGACATTTTACATATAACAACTGCCACAATAAAAATAAAATTACTATTAGGGTTTTATAAAAATACAGTTTCTAATGGAAGCTAAGCCTGGAAATGGTTAGCAATAAAACATAATCGTTGGTCATCCACAAAAAAGATTACATTTTTCTATTGGTCATGGCTTTAAACTGAACTGCTAGGCTTGAAAAGGTAGACTTAAATTAATCGAAACCTTACATTTTGATGACCGTTAGTTGAAAAATGATTGGTTGGTTTTTATTTAGTAAACAAAAATATCTGGAATGAAATAGTACTGTACATATACACTACAGTAAGTAATTAATTTTTTAAATTAAGTGGATTTTTATTATATTTGAGAATTGATTCTACTTCTAGACAAACTTAAGCCACTAAAATTTATAAATAGTTGATATATTCAAATATCTCAATTATTTTTAAGTCCGGTAATGAACTCGGTAAGTAACTCGGTTTAATTATTTTAACTTTATATAACTTTGGTTTTCTTTGAGCTGATATTTTGTCACAGTGCTATGTCATTTACAATAATTTCACCTGTTTAATGGCAACACTGTTAATTTGGTCTAAATGTTTATGTGCCAATAAAGAGATATTTATTTAGTATTTCCAAACTTGGTAGCAATAATAGAATAAGATTACTCAATTTTTTTAAAGAGAAAATTATACAGTAATTAGAAAGAACAACATATACAATACTGTAGTTGGTTTCTATTGAAAAAAAAGAAAATTTTCAGAAGCGCCACTAAAAATTAAGTCACACCAAACATGAGTAAGATGTTGTTTCCTTAGATAGGCTAGCTAAAAGAACTACCTAAGCTTTCTTTCACACCAGTGTGGTGCAGGGCCCCGTACCGTACCGTCGATGCAGGATGTCCCGGAAGGCCCTTTCACACTAGCTGTCTGGATCCGGGAGTTTCAAGGCTGAAACTTTGTGATTTTTGGGTGTATTTGATTGAAATGAATAAAAGAAAGGTGTTTGTGTTACTTGTCGTATCCGAAAATAAAGTACAGTTCTCCTGTGCTAAATAAGTCATTTGGACAGAAGCTGTGTGTGTAAAAATGCCAATTCATTGTATTTTTAAAAGTTATGGTGTGAGCTATGGCCAGCAGTTATGGTAATGAAAGGAAGATCTTAAACTTGTGTAGAATGTCCTCGGCAAATATGATTCTAATTGTAAATACACCGCTCGCTTATGCTTCCTTTACTACAGCATAATTCTATGGTATGCTTTGACAGTTTCAGCTAATTCTTCCCTATTGGGCTGAAGGGTTTTTTCGTAGGTGGCAAAATAACAAAAAGATCTGGGACCATATTTTGTTTTGCTGGCCCAATGGGAGAAAAAAGTAATTCTGTAGTTCAAATTTTGATATATGTATATTTATGGATATATTTTATGAGGTTTTAGGTAAAAAAACACTTCATTACCTTCCATATAGAAGAAAATTTAAGTGGTCGTTGAACCTAATGTTTTTTTTACATGAAATAAATCAGGCATGTTTAGGCCTAATGTCATTTTAAGTAAAAATGTAATCATGCAAATGAACGATGGTTTGCTGCAGCGGGGTGTTGTCCCACATCAATGGCCTTCAAACCAATCCAAAATATAATTATCGAACAAACTAATCAAGAGCTCGATATAAATTTCTTCCTCCATATCCAAAACAACAAACTTTCCTATTCCTAAGTTAACAAGAGTACTACAAAATCATCGACACTGAACTACTGATAGACACAGACAGTCAATACTACTGATTTATGTCCGTCCCGCACAAGTGTGAAAGCGTACATAAGAGCCAATGTTCTCAAAACTAGCCATCTGGTCTGGTCCCGCATTTAAAGTTTAGTTTCCTCCGGGTGATTTTTCAACCCGGTGAACCTGCACTGGTGTGAAAGCTCCCATACGATTCAATAGTCTAAATAGCTTCGTCCAATGCGGGACGGTTCCGCACCCTGCTGGTGTGAATGAAGGCTAAGTACTGGCAAAAAGTCACACTGAAGGAGAAATTATTCAATACTCAACTGTTCAGATCACTAATTAGTGTAACACTAAACTGAACCTTAGTTGATGTATTTTACATTTTTACAAGTACCTAGACAAGCTTATTTGGAACTAAATATTATCAATACAAGGCTACTAAATCACATTCAGGTAGAGATGCAAAAGTAAATAAAGAAAATACAAAATAGGTCAAAATCTATATATATAAAATCCAATGTATGTTTGTATGTTTGTATATTTGTATGTTTGTATATTTGTATATTTGTATGTTTGTCCTTTATGGACTCCGAAACCGCTCGACGGATTGTAATGAAACCTTCAGGCATTATCAAGCATTATTCAAGGATGGTTTGTGTGAAGTTTGGTGCAGATCCGTCAAAAGGGCTCCGCCCCAGTGGCTCTGGAGTTTCCCATGTTAACCTTATGAGTACTCATATTTAAATGGAATTAAAGAATCTTAACAGCTGGTTCAACTAAACTATCTGATTCTGTGATGTTCAATAGCATTAAAAAGTTAATAGGTTTACCAACAGGGTGCAGCACTATATTTTTTTAATTTATGATAACAGCTAACTTGCAACCAAAAGGTGAGTGAGCGTAGCGAACGAACTTCAACCTGGAGGCGAGTTAGCGTAGCGAACGAGCTAACCTGAAGGCAAGTGAGCGCAGCGAACGAGCTCCAACCTAAAGGTGAGTGAGCGTAGCGAACGAACTTCAACAGCTAATTAGCAACCAAATGGTGAGTGAGCGTAGCGAACGAACTTTAACCAGGACATGATTGAGCCATGCGAACGAACTAATCTTGTAAATGAACGAGCATTTTACATAAATCCACACTAGGACAGGACGACGTCTGTCGGGCCAGCTAGTAATAAATAAAAATGTAGTATAAAATACTACTGTACTTGACTCAATGGTAACTTATCAATACATGTATTATTACTTATTAGGCCTAAAAATCGAATAAGAAAAACAAGGGGAAGGAAAGAATTATCCTGGAAGACTACAATTCTAGAGATGAATTGTGTTAACACAATTCTGAAAGCATCAGAACAAGGCATAAAAGAGTAAATTTGTTTAAACTAAAAGAAATTCCAAAGATAATATTAGTAGATTGCAGTACAGAAAATTCAAGGTTGGTACAGTTTGGTACGGTACGGTACATTGTTATGTACCTTGGTTCTCATTTGATAATCAGTACAGTACACAGTTTCCAGTAGTCAGAACTCTCACCAAGTTCTCTTCTATGACCACCAAAGTTACTGGGATAATGAACATGAAATCATGGTTTCTATCCCTCTTGATTTAGTTAGGTCCTAGGTTTGAGGAGTAACTGCAGCTTGTTGTTTTACTCCTGCCTGGGTTTGAGGCCTCAAAGCCTCTGTAAAGCAATGAGGTGCAGTGACACAATCAAACTCGAATACCAAAGTTTGTGAGAAAAAAAAAATACCTTGAAACAGTTTTCCAAGTTGATTAAGTACATGACAAAAATATTTCAGTAACACATTAATACCTTTTTACATCCATAATGAATAATAACTTAGATAAAAACATTATTGCACAGTGGAAAAATCACAATATAGAAATTTCAACATTTTCTTTACCTTTACAAGAAATTCAGAAACCAAAGTTAAAGAGTTCACAAGCAACCCCAGTTGACCAGTGTTTCTATACAACGTGTTAGATGTACAAAAATTACCTGATTTTTCTAAACATCTTCTTTCCCTGTATTTTGACTAGGCCTAACAACAAGAATGATCGCCGTTCCTCCTCCATTTTGTGTTTAGGCCGGTCTCAGCTGTCTGTTGTTGAAGCATCTGTTACGTTATCTTGCAGCTTGGCTACTTCCTCTGCCGCTGAACCAGCTGATACCGTGTAAAACCAAGAGTCTGGCGTCGGCGCAGAATATCTGTAACATTACAGTTTCATTTTGTCCTAGTAAATGTAGAAAGAAAATTAATACATACAGTAGAACCTCTTTAATCCGAACCCCGTAATCCGAACGTCCACTAATCCGAACACCTCATTGCTGTACTTTATACACAGTATTGTAGTTCTATATTGTATTCTCTATTTAGTGTACAGTACTGTTTATTCACTATGTTTATTACAGTGTTGGGAAGTAGCGCGCTACAAGTAGCGACGCTACAGTAGCGCGCTACTTTTTTTGTAGCGTTAGCTGTAGCTACGCTACTTTTAAGATTTCGTAGCTTTAGCTGTAGCTAGCTACATTTTTAAAGTAGTTGTAGCGGAATTTTAGCTACTTTTCTCACTACATTAACATTTGTTTGAGATAGTGATTTTTATCATAACCTCAACCTTACGTGAAACAACCTCTTTCAAACTGAGATTTAAAAAAAAATTAGGCCTACTTTCTTGGCTTCAAACAGCTGGTTGCAGCCGTTTCATTCCCTATTACAACGTTGTGTGGACATAGAGGCCATTAAATGAGTGTTATCCACATTTTTGGCTCTCATTTCCTCATTTACTACTCTATGATTACTGTCAGATAAAATAAAATCGCTAGATGCAGACGACGTTTAAACGGTACCGGTGACAAGAGAAGCTATTGAATTGAATGCTTGCAAGTGATTTACTGGACAGGGGAATTAGTAATCAATTTAGTTTCTTTATTATATCAAAAATGCTTCAACTTGGGGTTTAATGGAAACCAACACACCTTGAAATAATGAAAAAGCTGGTATATCAACCTTTGCTTCAGCTGTTGATTGTGGTTTATCATCACAAGCCCTTCCTTGGTTAGATTACGAAGATTTTTCAAAGGTTTACTAAATTAGCAAAGAGGAAATTACCTGATGAGATTTAAGATATGCCTAGACTACATGATAATTGTAATGAAAAAATCTCCATATAACATGAAACTTACATTGAAAAAATAGCATAGTTTGCTCCTGCTAACAGCTCTTGTATAGGACTGAGGCTATGGTTTAAGACGAATACCAAGTTCAATTATTATGAATATATCTGTATAGTCCTTGCAAGAACAAGCCTACTATAGCCAACTTGTTACATAGCCAAGTAGGCCTACATGTTATTTTTACTTTACAAATTTCATCATGTTTAAATTAAAAGCCGATTTCAGGATAAGTTGCTGAATACTGTTTTATCTACCAACTAGGTTGAAGCACAATTTGCCCTATGCATAATGACAATAAAGGACGATTTCTTGACATTGAAAAGTGTTATTCGTAGAATAAGTAATTTATCACTTTAAAAGTTATATAGCAATGTTGTTTTTAACATTAAAAGTAAAGAAAGGCAATAAACTTCAATTTCAGTAGGCTAGGCTCTGTAACACAAAAAGTATTTTTAAATAATCTTTTTGCAGTTTTATTGGTCTTAATTGTTGATATATAAAATATCTATAAATGAATCTATATTAAATTAATAAAATTAGCTTTTAAAATATAGTTTGATTGTATGTCATTTGAACTTAATGAAAATTACATTTTAAGAGGCTTAAAAATAATGCAATATTTAAAAATAATTACTAAATATGATGGGACACCCAACTATTTGGTTCTGTTGTTGTAATGTTAGGTTTATAATGCCAACAAATTAAATACAATCTAGGAATAATTTGTTTTCCAAGTAATGTTAAATACAATACTGACATTTTTTTAAAGGTTTCTTCAATAAAAATGTAGTTGCAATTAATTTTACATTTACCTAATGTGCGTGGAATAAAAATTAACGTCTTTGGAAAAGTAGCTAAAATTGTAGCTGTAGCTACATTTCATTGTAGTTGTAGTTGTAGCTAGCTACTTTTTCGGAACTGTAGCTGTAGCTGTAGCTAAGCTACTTTTTTGGAAATGTAGCAGTAGTTGCAGCTAGCTACATTTTAAAAGTAGCTTCCCCAACACTGGTTTACTACTGCATTAAATAAACACTGTATTTTACTTTATAACACATTTTTTTTACTTTTCCCGTAACAATTACGATCCATTTTAGCCTTGTTTTAGCTATTGTTATGTAAAGACAACAATATGTTCTGTAATCCGAACTATTCAATAGTCCGAACTTCCCCGGTCCCAATTAGTTTGAATTAAAGAGGTTCTACTGTATGTTATTAGGATTCACAGGTGTTCAGAATTAATTGTTGTTTTGTTTGTTTATTTCAATATGTTTACATTATGAAATTATTAAATTTAGTTAAAGTTCTATACAGTTCTTATTAGTAATTCTATTTAAGAATTGGCGACAAGGACAATACATTATTTCGATATCCTATTTTACTCTTCTTAAATTTACTAGTAAAACTGATTACGGCCTCCTTGCAAGCAAATGAAATGCTGAATGAACTAAAGAAAACAAGAGATATTGTTAAAGGTCAGTTAACCAGAGCTGAGAGAAGAACTGTCTTGTATTGACATTTATAGTATCAGAACAAGACTCACTATGATACAAGCTTATTGGGACCGATTCGAGCATATCCAGCACAACATTGAAATAAAAACTCAAAAACTGAAAGAAATATCTGCAGATTCTGTAGCCTGGACCATTTAGTTTGTTGAAAAGGCATCCAAGTCATGTTTGAAACCATGAAAAAGGTACAGATTTGTCTCAAGGTCAAACAGAAAACCTTCTGATTACCAAGCTAATAGCTAAATCCACTCAGCTTTCTAGGTATATTAGGGCTTTGGAGAAGGATTTTTTTTATTTGACATAGGATTCTGCTTCATTGTTTGTAAAAAATCTGATGATCCCTCAGAACTCATTATGGTAGTACATAAGCCCCAAATTTTGGACAATACAGTAATTAGGTTACAGTATTTTGATTCGTTTAATCTTTTTATGAAACATTTTTCACAAAACCATCCGAGAGGTTACCTCCTGATAGGGATGCAGCCTCCTAAATTACACGTTTAATTCACTTTTGGTCTTCAATCTTAGTGGACAATAATTTATTTGAATTTTCACTTCCCTGTGACAAGAAAATGGTAAACAGGATCAGGTGGATCCTTTTGTACTCTACATTTTGGGTAATATTTTGTCGTTATATCTATATGTAATGGACCTTTATGTTGTAATTTTGTGGTTTGTTTGGTCAAGGTTGAAAATGTTGACATTTAAATCGATGATATTAATAATGTTAAATTTGAATGATGTAATTGATATAGTACTTACATTCTTGAAAAAAAATAATGCCTAGGCCTAACCATTATTATTATTAAAGTCAACTAAAATTATCATTTTGTATGGTAACATGTTATTTTAATAAATAATACCATTCAAATTAATGGTTATGAATATGTCTCACATACACTCTCCGGATCTCTCTAAACTCTTTTTTACCTTGCTCGATAAAATTTGTCTGGTCTTGGTCTTGATCGGAGAAATATTGCTGATATTTACCTCCCTTCTCCTTTCTCTCTGCTCGGTTCGGGGACTTGATCGGGGAAAAGATCGATAGTGTGTCACCGCCTTAATTAAAATATGTTTGACAAACATACTGATATTCAGGCCTACCTTGTATCGTCAAACTGGAACTTAAGCCCGAGGACGATGTTAAGGGCTGACGAGTCGTAACTGTGACAGCCGGAGTATCGGTAAAGTGGCTTTTTATCAAACCTACAGCCACCTGACTGAGCTCCTGTAAACATAAAATATCAGTTGTTTAAACAAGTAGTTTTTTTACATTTACCTAGATAAAAAAAAAGTTGAATAAGTTTTGTTTCTTGTCTAATTATATTACTGAAAAAAATTGGTTGATTTTTTTTTAATGTCATCACTGAGGCTTCAATGGTACCAGGATTAACTTAAGAGTAATTTTCCCAGGTATTTTTCAAGGCATTCAAACACTTGTGTTTCCAAGAGTGACTTTAAAATCTTCATGTAAATATAAATGGTTCCTGACATAGAAATGTTATAAGGTGCATGGCACACAATAGATTGTAAAGTAGGTCACCACTATCAAATCAAAGCAAACTCTGTTACAACTCTTTAATAGAAAACACTAGTTTTTGTGAAGCCTATAAATCACCAGTAAAGCCTATTATCACCTTACCAACAATTAGCAAATTCATGTTATTTCACGCAAACATGATCAGTATTCATTACCAGGGTAGGGTGTATACTATTTTTTTAAGTAAAATTCCAGTTTTTTCCTGGTTCTTTAAAGTTTTTCCAGGTTACTGCACGAATGTTTCCCACGTGAACATTATATTAACTCCCACGTCAATGTTTAGTTTCACATAACTTAAACCAATTTAAGACTTGCGGCTTAAGTATATACATCAATATACATCACATTTGCATATTTCTGATTAAATAACTTATTTTTTCTTCAAGAAGAACTGGTAATATTTGAATGAATGTAAATTTGAAATAAAAACTTCACCAATATTTTAAGAATTTTTAATTTTATGAGGCCTTTCGCCAGCTATGCTGGTATCATCACAAAACTTTTGTGACAAGTCTAATGATGCCAGCATTGCTGGCGAAAGGCCAGAATTGTACCATTGTACGTGTTATTAAATTTACAAACAGTAAATAAAAGAAACGTCTTATAACACACACTTATACTGTTCCTCATAAAACCGTAAATATACATAAAAGATGGTAAGTGGTGATCGAAATCGATTGGACACTCCAATCATCAATTAAACCTAATAGGAGAATGACAAGAATCTTGAATGGCGCTATCACAGTCTTCCACAATTACGGCAAAATCCTAGACGTCTGCAGCAGTTTGCAAACATAGTCGTTGTCTCTCGCGGTCACGGATCACAGAAACATTATTATCGTTATCTGCGATCACGACAAAATCCGGGGCATCTACCATGGTATGTAGACATTATTGTCATCCCCCGCAGTCACGGAAACATCATCATAGTTTCACACAATCACAGCAAAATTCTGGTTATCTTTTCCACAGTTTGCAAACATTACCGTCGTATCCCGTGGTCGCAGAAACGTGATCACTGTCTTCTAGCATAGTGGCTAAATCCTGGATGTCTCCCGCGATTTATAGACATTATGGTCAACTCCCACAGTCACCGAAGTTCATCTTAGATTTCCGCGATTGTTGCAAAATCCTGGATGGCTCCTGTGGTTATTGTCGTCTCCCACATCCTTGGAAACATTTTCATCGTCATCCGTAATCACGGTAAAATCCGGGGGATCTCCTGCGGAATGTAGACATTATCGTCATCACCAGTGGTCACGGAAACGTCATAATAGTCTTCCAGGATCGGGAAAAAACTCTGGACATCTTCCGCAATTTGTAAACTCATCGTTGTCTCTCACGGTCACAGAAACGTCATCACAGTCATCCAAGATTGGGGCAAATGCGTGATTTTCTATGTGAACTTTGCAGACGGGTCTTACAATTCAAATCTTCTACCGGAGCTAAAATAAAAATTACGGAATCTTTACAAATTTCTAGGCTTTTCCCCGTTTTTTCCAGGTCCCTTCTTCAAATTCATGCTTTCTCCTTGGTTTGTATACACCCTGCTTACTAACAAAAAACACAGCTAAGAAGAATGTAGATAATTTTATAGTATATTCCTGCTTGATCAAGGCAACACGAAAGGGTGTCTTTAAGCGGGTCGGACATACAACATATGTACAGATCAAAGTAATACGGTCTATGCACAAACTTTGCTGGATAACTCCAACAAATACCAACTCTTACTATGGCTAAGAGTATAATGCAATACAGTTCAGCCTATGTATTGCAGTTGCCATTACTACATATTGAATGTTCTTGCCTATTTTCTTTTTGAAATATATTGAATTTGTTAGGTACAGTGAAAGTTATTGTATCATGATCAACTCAGTTAACAGCACTGAATTATTTTGATGGTTAAACCTTTATATCTTCATAAATCTTATAGCCTAAATAAATCTTGGAAATTGTATTAATTATAATAAAAACACAAGAATTTCCAACAAAGGAACTCAGAACTCACCGATAGGTAGGATACAATCATGGGTGAGAGAACACTGTATCCAAGGTAGCATGATCTCCCTGTGTACTTCTGGTGTGTTGTACACAAGTAGTCTTGTAGCCTCTACCATGGGGAGAAACATGAACCTGTATCAGGAAATTTTTAAACAAGTGTACCATTGGGAGAAATATGAATCTGCATCAGAAAATACTTAACTTACTTGAGTGTACCATGAGGGGAAACATGAACCTGTCTCAGGAAATGCTTACATAAGTGAACCATGGGGAGAAATATGAACCTGCATCAGAAAATGCTTAACCTAATTGAGTTTACCATGAAGGGAAACATGAATCTGTGCCAGTAAATTCCTACATGAATGTTCCATGAACCTACGTCAGAAAGTATTTATGTGTATGAGACAGGATACATCCATTTTTGGATGTTCTTAACAAGTAGAAAATTAGCAGGGTTGGTCAGTTTTTTTCTTAAAACACATTAGCTGTTCTTTGCATAAAAAGTGCCAAGGGCATATAAAAATACCCTATGTTTCCAAATGACTTGCTTTTAGGCAAGGTGTTATTTATACTGTACTAGCTGTACCCGCGGGCTTTGCCCCGTTTTACTTCATAAGTGAGCTCGTTCGCATGGCTCAATCACGTCCTGGTTGAAGTTCGTTCGCTACTCTCACTCACCTTTACGTTGGAGCTCGTTCGCTGCGCTCACTTGCCTTCAAGTTAGCTCGTTCGCTACGCTAACTCGCCTCCAGGTTGAAGTTCGTTCGCTACTGTCACTCACCTTTTGGTTGCAAATTAGCTGTTGTCATAAATAAAAAAAAAAAATAGTGCTGCACCCTGTTGGTGATCCTTGTAACTTTAATGTTATTGCACATCATAGAACAGAACCAACTTGTTTTATTGAAACAGCTGTTAAGATTCATTAATTCCATTAAAAATGAGTACTCATAAGGTTAACATGGGAAACTCCAGAGCCACTGGGGCGGAGCCCGAGAGTCCGATCAGAATAAAAACAACTTAGTTTTCCTATTTAATGCCTAAAGAATCAGTGTACCAAATTTCAGCCTCCTAGGTAAATGGGAAGTTGGAGAATTAGTGATGAGTGAGTGAGTGAGTGAGTGAGTGAGTCAGTCAGTCAGTGAGGGCTTTGTCTTTTATATATATAGATTTATGAAGAGCATTAGTGGGCTTCACTCACCTTTATTTTTGTCTATGATGTCCAGGACTCGTCAAAACACAAACATATATACAAGACACGCAATCCTCCATGGCATCAAAGTCCGACGTAACCACTGTCCGTCAGTGGTGGTTAGGCGTTTAACCCAAGTGCAGAATAAAAATAACGTTTCCCAATCATGAGGATGCGGAGCTTTTTTGGTGAGTTCCACGTAACATCGAGTTTTTAATTCCATGGACGATTACATGTCTTCTATATGTGATGTGGAACGCAAAAAAGGACCTCTTGTCGGAGATGCAAAATTTCCAGTACGGCCGATATAAGTAATTAAGGTAGAAAATATTGAATTTCGGGTTTTTATCGATTGTTATACCTCATTTAACATAGAACATGACAGTATCGGTTAAAATCTCAAATTGAAGATGCAAAAGATTGAAATAAATAATTTTGTTAACCTCTGCACGGTCTGAGAAAAGGTACCTCTTGTCGCTCAATGTTATTTCGCCATAACGACAAGAGGTCCCATTTCTAATATTCCCTTTTTAAACAGATTTTAGCCCAAAAAATGAATTGTCCTGCATTCTAGTGGAAATGTAGAGAACTACAACAAAGTTCAGTTCACGACGAACATAATATCTCACAAATTTTGCGGTTCCGACAAGAGGTACCTTTTCTTATCTTATGGCGAAATAACATAGGGCCGACAGGAGGTCCCTTTTCTGAAAGCGATTTTTACGACATGCTTCAATAAAACAATTATTTAAATTAAAACTATTGCGAGTTAAGAAATAAATTTGTATTTCTTTCAAAGAGGACATTATAAGCTTTCTTTTGATACCAAAATCCTTTCTTAAATACGAAAAACACAATTTTTATGCATATTTGAAATTTTCAAAACAGTTTTTCTCAAAAGTACCCTTTTCCATAACAAAATTTTAAAGTCCTATAACGTTTACAAAAAAAATCATACATGCGTGGGACTTTCACCAATTGATTCAGAATTAAATGAGGAATTTAAATATATAAATATAACTCAAAATCCAAAGTTCCCGACAAGAGGTCCCTATTCGCTTTCCACATGTGTTTGTGTGTGTTTTGACAAGTCCTGGTCATCATAGACAAAAAAAGGTGAGTGAAGCACACAAATAATCTTCATAAATAAAAAAATAGGCCTACCCTTATCCCAGCAGAAAAAATATAGCCTTTGGTAAAACTAATGTATCCCAATAAAAACGTAACTAGGAAATCTTTTTTTTAAACCTTGAGTAAAAATTCTTGCAAACGGCAAGAGTCACAAAACCATCAATTTTTGCTTTAATTGAACTGTTCTATTACATCATGACTATAATATGTGATCGCAACACTATTGTTATATTTTCCACGATCATAGAGACCCAACAATCCTGAAGGCATCATCTTTGTCCGTTTAGATCCTGGCGAGAATACAAAACCTGTGGTGAGTTGGGACAAATCCCATCCTGAGAAAATCCTGAGTTAAATAAAATCCCACCCCATTTTAGGAACTGAAATTTTCTCAAAAGTCTTCAAAATTTGAGGACCTGTCCATCCTCATGTTGGTTACTGTGACAACCTTAACAGCAATTTATTCAACAACAATTAAGAACACTGATCACATAACAAAAGAAGAGGCTAATGAAGTACCTATTGTAATTTCCATAACGATAGCTCGGTCATTTAGAATCATTAAAGCAACGGCTTTCCTTTATTGAATTACAAATGTGCACTCCAAGCTGAATCGTAAACTCCACCTATCTTTTTGTTAACAACCAGATCTTTAATATAACGATACTGTACAGTGTGTACACACTTGGGGAGTTTTTTTTTTTTTTTTTTATTGGTAGCTTAGTAATATTATTGATACAGGATTTTTACTAATAATTCATGAACAATTTGAAATTAGAGGATACCCAGAAACCTGGGTAAATAAATACCCTTAAATAAATACCCTCTCAAATAATGTAATTTTTTGAACGGACTATGAGGTATTTAAATATTTGGTCTATTTTAGGTTGTTTCGGTTTGAAGAAGGCTGGATCACAGAACAAAGAGTGAGACAGTGTTAACCTGTAGTTACATGAATCGGATTTTTCTCCACTGGGGTAATTAAATATTGTATTTTAGTAAGCAAGATAGGTCTATACAATGTAACACAATGATAAACACATAGGTATCAATTTAGATGAAATTATAATATTACACAAATCAAAGCTTTTTTGTTGATCAAATTTAGCAAACTCTTTATTAGAGTTACCAATTATGGAAAAATGGAAGATAACCCTTGCAGTGGCCAATGATAGAAATAGGGAATGGCCAACCCATTTTGGTGATTTTGTAACCTTCTTTTGAAAATTCTTACAAATTCAACCGAACAAGTAAACCTAGCCAACCTTGTATACATTTTGTTTGGAAAGAACAGGAGAATCTAGAAATAGTAATATAATAATGATTTAGAAGTTTTATTTTTTTGGTAAAATGAAAAAAATTGAATTTTTTGGGGAATTTCAAAAGCAGCCTCGGTAAATTTTTGTTTACAGTTTTTTTTATGGGAAATTCATTAGGCCTATATACATTTTGTAGATAATCTAATTCCCTTCTACACCCGCAACATCCCAAGACAAAAATTACCCGAGCAGGGTAATGCCAAACAAGTCAAGTTTTGCCAGTTCCCAAGTGTCGGCTGCAAAAGTCGTGCCACGTCAAAAATTCATTTGATTCCTAATCGTCGTGACATTGTTATATACCTGCTAGAGGGTTTGTTTATGTAATAAAATGAAAGTTCAGAATGTGATCTTTCGAATGGTATATTGTTCTCATCTGAGTTGATTATAAGTGTTTTTTTAAGTGCTTACGATCATGGCCATTCTAAGCATCAACGGCGAAAAATCGTCCCACGATCATTGGCCACTGCTAGGGTTAATATCCTAGAATCTAGCCAATTCATTTTAGGCTGGACCAGTGGCGGATATAGAACAGTCACGAGGGGGGGGGGGAACCAGGGGGTATGGGTGGTTCGGGGATCCCCCCCAAAAATTTGTGTAAACTTGGTCTGCAAAATGGCAGTTTTATACTATTTCTTTGTCCAAAGTTAGTGTGACAAATTATTTTACGCAATCTGTATGCACTACTGTATAACATGCAGTAAAAAATATTGGATCCCCCACTGGGCTGAACCTAGGATGAAAATTACATCGCATATATGAAAAAGAAGCCATTTTTGGTACAGTATAACACTACATCCTTTTCCGAACACAAACTTACCCTTCGTTTGTGGTAGTGTGGAAGTATCTGAACATGGAAGGATGTGTGAGTGACGTCACAGCTTGTCTAGATGCCCAGCAGACGATGCCACTGCCTTCCTGATCAGCTGTTCCTACAGCCTTCTCAATCAACGGATGAATATGGCCTGTTGTCAGCCGAAGATTACTTTCCATAAACAACACTGCTCCTGCGTGGTTTAGTGCATCCTGAAATTGTTTATTATTTTCATTCAATAATAATAGCTTAATATTTTAAAAGTCAAAGATAAAGGGTTAATCGTAGTTCAAGGATAAGATGAATAATAATCAAAGGTTACATCAGAGGTTACATTTCAAAGCACAGCCATGTGACTGGTTAGGGAGTTTATTTTGTAAGTATAGAATTTAGCTGCTAGGCCTATTATACCTGAGAGAGATAGAGTACAGGGGCAAATAGATATAATAAAAAACTATACCATGTACCTTTTATACTAGGTACTGTTTCTTTATGTAAATTTTAACTTTCACAAAAAAGCCTCTAAAACTCCTTAATCAAATCAAGATGTTAAACTAGTCTCTTACTATCAATTCACTACTCATAATCTCAATACAGTTTTCTTGATCACTGTAAATAAATAGTAAACATATAAGAATAATGACTTACATTTAATGTGGTAAATTAACTTAACAAAGAATAACAAAAGAGTTATATAGCCTATTGCTAACTTTAAACAAGTAGACGCATTTTAATAAACTGTAGTAAAAACATGATTTTACCTGTATTATTATAGGGCGATAAGCATGGATTTTGTGATCGTTAACATGTGATGGGAAATCACTGAGGTAGAAATCTATCACAGAGCATCGACTTGTGTTGCAGTATGTAAGTATCTGTGAACAAATCAAACTTTCAATCGTTTAAAAAGTAAAAAACTTTAAAAGTGGCAATGGAGTAAATAGACAATATAGCTGATAGCTGTAAATAAAATTAATAATTCAATTTAATATAGATAATTACAAGACAAATAAATCTAAATTTACAGATATTACTAAAAATGTTGATTCTTTCAATAAATATGTTGGATGCCTGCTCCATCTTCGAATTCTCGAGCAGATCTACATTTTTTTGAGATCTTCTTAGGCACATACTTGTTGCCCTTAAAATTGAGCAAGTCAGTCTTGTTCTGATCCAATTAACTACCAGGCTGTAAGGTTTAACCCATTTTTCTGACAATCTCTCAGCTAGTGCTCTTATTAGTGTTTGAAAATCTTTGCCTAGGATTCCGCAGACTGATGTTATCAAAGGAGTGAAAGAGGCATTCCGGCTCTCACAGGCTGAAATATACTTTATTTTCTTTTCTTCTTCTGCATTTCGTATGACATTGTCATGAGGTTTGGAAGCATAAGAGGGAGCATCAGTGTCTACGACACGGATATCAAATAATGCTTCCCTCTGTGTCTCCCATACCCCTCTACATGCCAAGTCAGCTTTAATTGCAGGCCCGTTTGCATTTCTATTCTCTGCTATAAGGGGCTCTTTGATACAATTCCCCCATGCCTGTTCCATAATGTTTCCTAAAGCATCTCTAATTTCATTGTGTCGTTTGATAATTAGGCCACCTACAGGACATGTAAGGGCATGGTCTGTATTAAATTCTTTCCCACAGCCATCACATTTGGGTGGTAAATGGATCGGTGTCCGACCATATCTCAGTGCCAGGGAATCCCTAAATTCTTGGGGTGACATGTCTAAATTTAATTTCTTCAATGGTACACAGGATAACTTGTTTTGATTTAGGGTCAGCATTTCGTAGAATTACATTTTGCCTTTTTAGTGAAAAATATTTTAAATTTTCATTTAATAATTTGTTTTCTTCAGTTTTCTTTTGTTCTCTATGGAACTTTAATGCTTTTTTGCCCCCCCCCCCCCTGGTTCCTGGGCTAGAGAAAAAAATATGCTGTACTAGCTAATATACAAATATTTTCTCCTGTCAAATCCTAAAAAGCACGGCAGACAAATATCTGCCTATTCTTCTACAGTAATTTGAAACAAAAATATAATTTTTTAGTGTCTCAGTAGCACATTCAAATTAATTGTGTCAAATTATTTTATTGATAATAAAATTTGATTTGCTTTTAAGTACTTAAATACCTGTGTTTTATTTTAAATCCAAATTAAACTGTTATAAACTTTAGGCTATGAATACGACCGTATTCATTGATTTAGGTCTAAATGTTGTACAAGAGAATTTGGTCATAAATCTAATAACATAAATAATATTAATAGGCTACACAATGGAACTATTGATCACGTTTCTTAGATGACTAACTTACAAACATATTATGTTTCTGTCTGTTGTCAATAATCGTTAATTTCATGTAGCTAAATGTGACATATCTGGTGTTTTCCTCTTTTATCTCTTCTAATGTGGTTCTGCTGTGTAGTTTATTCTGGCTATTGATTTTCCTCCTCATTTTTCTTGCGATGTCCTCTATTGTATTGGCTTGAAATCCATTATCTTGGTTATCTTCTTAATGGTGTACAGCTCTTTCTTCCTATTGGCTTGGCTAAGTGGGATCTTATATGCTCGGTACAGCATGGATCTAAAGGCTGCGGCCTTGTAGATTGTCGGATGGATAGATTTGATGTTGATTGTAGTGTGAACGTTTGCGTGGGTTTCCTGTAGATGTCAAACTCTATCTTGTTGTATTTTCTCTTTAATGTGAGGTCCAGGAAGTTGATCTTTAGGTTTTCTTCAAACTCGATGGTAAAAGTGAGGTTCGGATGGTGGCTTTTAAGTGTCTGCATTTTTGTTTCGTGCTCTTGCTCCTGGTATTGTCTGAAGATAACAAGAATATCGTCTACATATCCAACATACACTTTTACATCATGATTCTTTCTTAAATTCTTTAACATTTCTTTTTCCTGATGCTGTAAAAAAATATTTCTGCCAAAATTGGCGAAAGTGGACTTCCCATTAGCTAAACCATCTGTTTGTTCGTAAAATCTATTGTTAAATCTAAAATAATTTTGTTTCAAAACAGTCACAAGCAATATTACAATCTGATTAACATATTCATTGTCTAAACTATTCTGTAAAAGCCTACATTTAACAAGATCCACAGTTTCAGTTACAGGTATGTTAGTGTACAGATTTGAGATATCAAATGAGACTAACCTACTATTCGACTCTATATCTACCGTATGTTCTTTACAAGTTTTTTTTTTTTTTTTTAAGTATCTAGTAGGCCTAAGTTTTAAATTGTAACTTAACTACAATTCAACCACTAATCATTCTAAGTTGTGTAACTGTATACTTACAAGTTGTAAATCGTATCTGCCAAGTCCAAGGTTGTATATGAGCAACGTGTGGTTAGGCAAATAGTGTGCAATGTTCCTGACCAGACCAACACCCAACTCCGCATCTCCGTCGAAAAGATAAGAAACAATCACAGGGAGGGACGTGTTGGTCCAAACAGACTGAGGGTACAAACGAGGACTTGAGTTGAAACCCAGAGCCAACAAATATTTCTCGTCTGCAGTCCAGCGCTTCTCTTCTGCTTCTTTCAAGTTATCCTGAAACATATAAATATGACATATTACAAATTAGCCCACATACAACATATTAACTTAATGAATTCTTAAAAAATAAATGAAAAGTTTATAGGGCTAAGTTAGTCTAAGAACACTAATTACTTAAGGCTTGGTAAAAAGCCTATTTTATTTTATTACACTTCAGTAGGGTAGAAAACTGCATAACTTAGGACCACCAATTACATTATCTATATTTATAAAAGAGGAAGTTTTTATATATATTTGAACGTTAAATGGACTCCGAAACCGCTTGACAGATTGTAATGAAACTTTCAGGCATTATTAAGCATTATTCAAGGATGGTTTGTGTAAAGTTTGGTGCAGATCCGTCAAAAGGGCTCCACCCCAGTGGCTTTGGAGTTTCCCATGTTAACCTTATGAGTAGGCCTACTTATATTAAGTTAAAATGGAATAAAAGAATCTTAACAGCTGGTCCAACTAAACAATTTGATTCTGTGATGTTCAAAAGCATTAAAAAGTCAATCAATTTACCAACAGCGTGCAGCACTATTATTTTTTTTTTTATTTATGACAACAGCTAATTTGCCGTAGCGAACGAACTTCAACCTGGAGGCGAGTTAGCATAGCGATCGAGCTAAACCTAAAGGCAAGTGAGCGCAGCAAACTAGCTCCAACCTAAAGGTGAGTAAGCGTAGCAAACGAACTTCAACCAGGACGCGATTGAGCGATGTGAACGAGCTCATCTTGAAAATGAACGAGCATTTGACATAAAACCACATCAGGACAGGACGACGTCTGTCGGGCCAGCTAGTATAGCATAAAGCATGTGATAAAGACATAAACTGGTACTACAAAGGAATGTATTAAATTCATTCCAAACACAAAATAAATATGAGTACACTATAGAAACATGTCCGTCTTCTATAGTGGCAGTCTTAGAAAAATATTACAGTTAAACTCGCAATAGAAAAGAATGACATTAGAGAAAAGATCAGTGGCGGTTGCAAGGGGGAGGGGGCTATAAAGGCTTAACCCCCCCCCCCTCCCAATGAAATCTGAAAATAAAAATTTACACATTAATTATGTTATAAACATTTAACGGGGTTTTTCGACACAGTTCTAGGTGTAAGAAATTACTTTTTAAAGTCACAAAATTGCTTTGAAAATCACAAATTTTCCGGGTGAAGCCACTCTTTTGGTGTGGAATGCCCCCAATAGCCCCCCCCCCCTTGACAAGGGACCCTAGAACCTCTGATTGTAACATAAGAACTTTTTTCATTATGTGGTGAATAGAATATGGATTAGTACCGTACAGTAACTCTAGCTTACATAATCAAGTAGGTAGCTTAATTTATAACAAAAGGTTGGTACTGTATTGACCTTATACGCCAGGCCCCAACTAATTTCACATTTCAAGTAAAATAAGGTTACAGCCTAATTTATTACCTTATTAATGTAGTCGTCTCTAGTTAACCAACAAGACTTAAAAAGTGTTTTACTTAGGCATATTTATTTATTTATTCATAACAGAAACAGTCAATTAATTATCATTTATCAATTATTTAAGATAGGGATGCCATTATGTGCGAATTTTAACGCAAATATGAGTGGTGGATCAGTGTAGGATGAGTGGCGTGATCTTAGTCTTGTTAGTGACTAAGGCCGACATGTTCCTTTTGACAATAATAGTTAGACAATAATAGCCTATAGGCCTACAACCAAAGGCTACTAAGGGACCTACAGGTTATAGTGGATTCCGAACCACATGTTTCCTTAGTAATTAACAAATCGGTCTAATTATCAGGATAGTATTGCGGAGAGTCATAGTACTCACTAGTGCGGACGTTAAACCACACCAGGGAGCATCGCATCCACAGTGCATGCCTATAAATAAACAGTAGGCCTAAAACTACCAATACATAAATAATTTATAAGTTATAACAAAACGTACTAACCAAACATAGGACAGTAAGTTATCTAGGGCCTAATAACTCACTGTAGTAAGTTAGCCTAGAGGGGACTTTGATATATAGCCTAACTTGATATCACCTTAAACTGTAGCCTGGCATTAAAACGTAGTTATTTAGCCTACAACAAATAGATAGGATCAGTGTAAATTTCATTCCACTAACCAAAATGAGGATGTGTTTGCAGTTTTGACTAAGTTATCTAATAAAAATAAAAATAAATGGTTAAGTTAGTTATGATAGGCTTAGCTCTAAAAAACAATATATAGTTTTGAGTCGAGCCTCAGAATGCGAGCAGATCTGAACTCTGTGACGACCGGGTTCAGGAAATTATTTAGTTACTGGTAAACTTAGGCCGGGTACACTTCCATATCTGTTGGCACAAACAACCGAATGAGTAGGTACCTAATATTGATTATTCGATTGTTTAATTCAATATATCGTTTAGTTGGTTAGGTTAGGTTAACCTACCTAACTAACCAAACGATACCTATATCGAATAATCGATATATCGATCGAAATTACTCATTCGGTTGTTTGTGCCAACACATATGGAAGTGTACCCCTTAGGCCTTTTTTTGTAGGGTGTAGGCTACGTAATTTGTAATGTGTGTGTCAGAAAGACTGCTACCTAAACGAACATATGGTTAAGAAGTTTTTGAAGGATTTGACAATGACACTTTGTCGTTGAAACATGTAATCTTTGTTCATTGGATGACAAGAATCACTTGGCGATCAAGCTAATTTATACGTAATTTTAACCTTTTATATATAAAACTAAACTTGTATAGGCTATATAAACATTTCAAACAAGACGAATGCCTAAGCCGAAAGTTAGTTAAGTTAGTAGGTAATAATCTAGGCAGGCTAATGCTGGATTCTTTAGTAAAAAGTACTGCCACTACAGTTAACAATTGTTGGGCTTTTCCCAATTCCACTTGACAGATGTTACCCCAGAATTTATAGAAACCTATCTATTAGAAAGCAGGGTAGGTACTGTTGCTACTCAGTTGCAGCAACGTTTCTGTTCTCACTAGGCCTAGCCTAGGAGACTAAATTGAGCTGTTAACTTAAGCCGCGTTTACACCGAAGTTTCAAACAAAAAGTTGCAAACTTTTATTGCAAATGGTAGTTTCAAATAAGTTTGAAATTTTTATTTTATGGTTTTAACTTGCATGTTTCATGAAAATGTTGGAAACACTTTTGACGTTGATTGTGACAACTTGCCTATGTTATGGTTCCTTGGATCAGTCCTTCCGAGGATGTCAAGTGTCGTGGATGTAATTTTGAATGGAATGTCATTGCATGCGTAGTTTTTCATGTTTTTAATTTTGTTATCGGAAATAGTTTGGTTAAACAGGATTTGCTGCTTACTGTAACTGTATAATGTCGTCATCCCTACACTACATTTCACTCAGTAAAATTTCAATTGTCACTCACCACTGATCACTCACAACAAGCACAAGGAACTAGTAGTAGTCCAGACAGGGTAATGACACGAGTCAAGACACAGGGTGGTGCGAGTGCTCACTTGAGTGAGAGTGGAGGTGGCAGTGTAGGGGATGGCGGGAAAATGTTTATGTTTCATGTTTCAACGGCACATAGTGACCGAAACCTGTGAGTTGCAAACAAAAGTAAAAGCGGCTTTTTAGGCCTTAGCTTGCAACTAGACCTATAACCTAGACTAAGACCATTTAAAGTAATTCTTACCTTAAAGGTTTGGATGTTGTTTTTCAACTGTTTGTGGGTCTCCGTAAGAATACTTTGCACAGCTGGTCTCTGGTCTCCAAAAAGTATCAACAGTATGCTTGTTATTACAATGCAAGTGAATCCTAAAAGGTAATTTTTGGTTCTCATCTCACAAGCTGAGTATTTAATTGACAAGTAATAGGACTCAACAAAGAGTGTTCCGGTATTTAAATTAATTTGGCTGACTTTGATTAAACTTATTTAAAGATGATCCAGGTTCTCAGAGAATCTGTGCTTGATCATGTCTATCAGTTAACTTATGTTGCAAGAGTATAGGCCTAAGTTAATAATAATGAAAACAGTGACAACAATTAAACTAATTAGGCTACCCTAACTTCTGCGTCATACATCAAAGTCCATACTGAACAACCAGTTTAAATAGCCTACACACTTTGGGCATCATAAATCACACATAATTAATTAAGGTCCTAGCTAAACATTAACATAAACATAACCTTTGGAGCACATATTCAGGAAACACCATCGTTGGCAGTTCAATTAAAGGCATGACAATTTATTTCACTTCTAAATCTTGTTTACCACTATTAATGAGAATTATATTTGAAATTAATGTTTTGGTAACATACATAAGGACAAGAAACAGATATAAGAATGTGTAGTTCCTGTTCCTAATTTTTACAAATCTCTAAACACAACACTGACATGACGACAGAGGACGAAGCGATATTCAGCCAGCAGACATCACGATCACACCCAAGCTCTAAAAATGATAACAAAGTGAAGTGACAGTTTACAAAAATAGAAAAAAAGCTCAAACTCAGCTGAACTTACACAGGCCACCAGCAACTCTCTGGCTTTAAAACATTGACTCAAGGAATATTCTTATAATATAAGAATACATGTCTAATCACTTGTTTTTATTCTTCTATAAGATGTGTTCAAGAATGTCTTATAATTTGAGTATTAGTTGACTAATTTATAATGGTAAAAATTTGATATAGCCTAGACAACCTACAACGGTTTTCTTAAAATGTTGCATACCTTATAATGGTATAGCTACCTATATATAAAATATGCTACAACTTATATAATCACGTTTGTAACCATGGTGTGTTACCATAGATCAAACATACTCCCGTGGTAGGTTTGCATGCCTTATACGTAATCTAATTCCAAACAAAACTACAAAGCTTAAAACGTGAGAATGAGAATGAGAATGAGAGAATGAGAATGAGAATGAGAATGAGAATGAGAATGAGAATGAGAATTTTATTTGGTCTTTTAAACATGCAGTTACATGCAATCAGACAAGTCATATAATAATCATCTGGCAACAATCAGTTAGGCTAACAGTCCCAGTTAGTAAACTGGGTTGACTTAGCTTAAATCACACCATGCACAAAAACAGGCAAATATAATAAATAAATAAATAGTTAAATAATGGCAACTACAATAGTGAATAAATAGTGCACAAACTACTCATATCTACTTTAAAAAAAAAAACACACCATGCACAAACTACTTCAAACTTCAGGCACAGCAAAAGCAATCAAAAGCATCTACTTACAACAGCTGTAGGAATTTCAAAAAATTCTTTTAAAGCATACAAAGGATGCGCCAATAGCATCTCTTGTAGTTTCCGCTTAAACTGGCGGATCTCCAGGTTTCGTGCTGAATAAGGCAATGCATTAAATAGATTTATTGCTAAGATATCACAGTTGAGTTGAGTTTTTCTAAGTCTAACATAAGGTATATCTATTAGATGTTTATTTCTTGTGTCATGCTCATGCACCTCGGCTCTAGTTACTACATTCCCAATACTATTTTCCTTAAACTTAACTAAAATATCAAAAATATACAAGCTGTAAACAGTCATCAGTTTCTCAGATACAAATAAGGGTTTGCAATGTGCGTCATAAGAAGCATCAGCCATTAACCTAATTGCCTTCTTTTGAACAGTTAAGATACCTTTAACATCAGTTGCACTGCCCCATAGGCTTAGGCCGTATAAAATTATACTTTGAAAAAATGCAACATAGGCTACTTTTAAGTATTGTTTGGGAACATTTACCTTCAAATTTCTTAATAAATGTACAACTCTTGATAATTTGCTGCATGTCACTGCAACTTGATCATCCCATAACAACTTATTATCTAGGGTTAAGCCAAGTAATTTAACATTATTGGAATCATTGATAGGCCTATCGCCTATCCGCCTTAGAGAAAAAATCAGACTTTGAGTTTTGGCATTATTTAAAAAGAGATAATTTGCACGGAACCAGATAGCTGATTGTTCCAAGGAACGTGACATATCCCCTGTTAGCATGGCTTCATCTTTACCTGTACACACAAGAGTAGTGTCATCTGCGTAGCTAATGACAGTTGCGTCAGTGTTATGACTTAGATCATTGACCATGATTAAAAAGAGCAGAGGCCCCAGGATTGAGCCCTGCGGTACACCATGAGACAATGTTTTGGCACGAGAACTCTGCCCTCTAGCAAACACAACCTGCTCCCGGCCACACAGATAAGACTCAATCAAACTGAGTGTTCTAGGCCCAACCTTATAAAATTCAAGTTTTTTGATTAACAGTTCATGATCGACTGTATCAAAAGCCTTGCTGAGATCACACAAGGTGACCCCAGCAAGACTACCCTCTTCAAAACTTTCAAGAACAATCTTAACCAAATTGTCGACCGCAGCAATGGTCGACCGCCCTGCACGAAAACCGTATTGAGTGTCCGAGAGCAGGTGGTTTGATTCGAAATAATGGTAAAGTTGCTTTTGAATAACATATTCAAACACCTTAGAAAAGATGGGCAGAATTGACACAGGCCTAAAGTTTTCTGGTAGGTCCCAACTGCCTTTTTTGTGGATGGGAATGGTTTTAGACTTTTTTAAAATCTTTGGGAAAATCCCTTCAGCTATACATTGATTTACACAAAAGGTCAAAGGGTCAACTATATGGTTAATAATCAATTTTAAGAAATCATTAGAAATGCCATAAATGTCCTTACATCTCGATGTCTTCATATCCTTCACAGCATCCAGCACCTGGTCACAAGAAGCCAGTTCAACCTCGAATCTGCAGGTAGGGGAGGGGCACCTCTCCAGCAACTCCAATGCAGATACTCCAGGATCTTCCATCTCTTCTCTAAGGGACTGCACCGTTTCCACAAAGTACTCATTCAACTGGTCCGGAGTTACTTCAGGCACTCTAGATAGGCTGGGGGTGGTAACCTTCTTTATGATCTTCCAAGCAGCGGAACATTTATTTGCTGAGCCTTCAATAAACTTCATATTTGCCACCAGTTTGGCTGATTTTAGTTCACTCTTGTACTCCTTTTTACATTGATTATATAAGTTCTTTATGTCAGTACTCCCCGAGCTTTTCATCATGTCGTACAGAAATAGAACCCAACTTTTTTTGGCAAGTACTGATTGGTTGATCCAATTGGAAGTAGGCCTACGGCTCTTAGACATAGGCTTAGCAGCTTTGATTTTAATTTCTTTAACCGGAAAGCACTGGTTAAAAATATTTATGAAGGTCTCCATAAATAGATCAAAATTTGCCTCACCACCATCGATTACTAATAACTTACACCACTCGACCCCATCTAAAATAGATATGAAGTAGTCTATCTTAGCCTGATTAACAGGCCTAATCTCCCTTGACGTAGAAGGTTGATGGCGATTCTGCTTCTTCTCCGGCAGTGGTACTTCCAAGAACACTGCGTCATGGTCACTTAGGGCATATGAACATACACCCACCTTCACAAGCCTATTATCAATGTCAGAGGCCACATTGTCCAGACAAGCTTTACCACGGGTAGGCCTGTCACCCAGACAGCACACTTTCTCCTCAGGACATCCCACGGATATTGCGACAGGATATGCAAGATATCCCATAGTGGTCCTATGGGCAACTTGGGATATCACAGGATATCCACAGGAATGCCTAATGTCCCCGCCCGGGGATGTCCTACGGATAAGCTCACACGCATATCCGTGGGACATCCGAGGTCATCCCAGGGTAGTCCTCAGGACATTCTCAGGACATATGGGACTACTATGGGATGTCCCTGGGATAAAGTGTGGTCTGGGCCTGAACATAAAAAACACAAAATAATATAGATTTAGTATGAAAAGCTTAATTATAAGTTTAGTAAATTGATTAAATAGTTAATAAACACAAATTTTGAAGAAAAAAACGAGAAAAAAGTTTTTGGCCCAGACGGGTTTCGAACCTGGTACCTTCGCCTTGTGAGCCTCTTACCTTACCTCCTGAGCTATCTGCGCTTGTTGATAATGGGTGTTTTCAAGTGGTTAAAGAGTAGCCGACAGTTGCAATGGTCGCAATACTTAAAATATTTTTGATACTACAGTATAGGCTATATATGATTCTGTTAATCTGTTTAGGCCTCAAGTATTGAATTGTTTTTCTGGTAGTTGGAGAGGATACTGGTATTTGAATATAGATTATTTAATCACCATTAGATTAGCACTGTAATAATTGATTGTTATATGATTAAAATTAGTTTTTCGTTGTTTTATTAATTTAAAGTTAGAATTAAATTCACATTCCACACAACTATGATAGAACTCTAGTTTTCCTGAACTCAGTGGTAGTAATATGTCAGTAAAGTAAAGTCAACCCTTGCTAGCCATAGTATTAACAAGACATATTTTCAATCTGGGAAACCTTAAACTTTTAAAATAAATTATAAAACCTCAACATCTTAATGCGTGGGAATCTTATTTTTAGAAAAAAAAACAGACCAAAATTATTTGTTAAATAATGAAGACGGCCCAATTATAAATTCGGAATTACTGAAAATAATTACATCAAGAACAACACTGTAACATATCCAAAATTCAAAAGATTAATTTTTCTAATATTATTTTTTATTTTTCCAATATCCTTTAAATCATCTGTTTTAACTTTGTTTAAAATTAATTTATTAAGTAAATATTTACTTTTTGTACTAGTGTAAACACAGCCTGAAGATGGAAACCAAGTTTCTGAAAGCACTAGTGAAAAAAACAAATTATTATATATTGGCCTTGTTGAACATTTAAATTTAGATATACTGTACATTTCATCAGTGGTAGTATTTTTTTTCTTCAGTTTGTTACCGGGACATTACAGGATATCCAGTGGATTTTGTACATGTCCTGGGATGTCATGGGACATTCTGTGATATCCTATGGCATTCGTACATATCCCGGGACTTTACAGGATATCCTGAGGTTAACTTACAAATCCCGGGACATTACGGTATATTGTAGGATATCCTGTGGATTTCGTACTCGTCCCGGGATTTTGCGGGATATCCTGAGGATAGCGCACATATCCCGAGACATTCTCAGGACATATGGGACTACTATGGGATGTCCCTGGGATAAAGTGTGCTGTCTGGGCAATTAGGCAGTACAGATTCATTGATTTTAAAAGATTGACAAACATCACAGTTTTGCGTTCACACTTTGCAGCCAGGTCTATGTTAAAATCTCCTCCAATCACTAGGCAGTTTTTCGTTCTATAATTGGACAGAGATCCAACTAGTTGCTCCAGGGCATCAAAGAACATGTTTACATCACCATTTGGTGATCTATATGCTACAATCAAGACAATATTTAAATTAAGGAGAGCGATGCATGCAAACTCATGATGTAATTCCATGCAGTATCTCTCGACATTGATTACTTTACAACATTGGACAAGACTACAAGCAACAAATATGGCCACACCACCATGCTTACGTTCCAAGCGACAAAAAGCTGAGATGAGATTAAATCCGGGAATGTCTTTAGTAGATAGTTCGTCTCTATTAAGCCAATGCTCGGTGAAACATAGAACATTGTACTTATCAGACTCCAATATTACCTCTAGCTCCAACATCTTGTTGTTAAGTGATTGGACATTAAGGAATAAAAATCTATTAACCTGCATAGGCCTATTTACAGTACTGGAATTCAGATCATGGTAACTACTGGAGTCCAGTGATTGCGAGCACAGGTCATCCAAATTCTGATTAGGCCTATTGGTGAGGGAAGGATGTTATCGTGGTCGGTACAGCCTTAGAACAAAGCTGATTGATTCGTGAGTATACATACAAAAAATATCGAACAATGGACAATGGACCTCAAATTATCGTACGGGCCGAAGGTGTGAACTCAAACTTAATTACTGCTTAGTGTACCGGTACGCTAAATATAGATAGCCTACAGGGTTTGGTTTTCCTAACTGAATGGTGCAGTGTTTCGAATGCTTATACCTGGTGAGGTAAAATGAGGTTTCTTTGAGCGTTGCAGCTTTTGTGACTGTTTAATTATTTTACATCAAAGATCAATATAATATTTGTACACCCTGTTCTTCAGATCAGAGAGTGCGGCTGGTAGAAGAGTCAGCCGAAGCCCTACTCTCACAGATCTCGAGCCGCAACCTCCATGAGCAAACAGGGTATAGTGCACATAATATATAGCCAAGATAATCCATCAGAGTTCGGCGGAACAATGCGTTTGTTTCTATTTCCGTTCATAATTAAGAACTCAGCTAGTAAGTAAATTAACGTTGTGTAACTCATTTGTCTAACAAAAATATATTCTTTACGAACATAAACCATGTTTATATGTTTAGATTTGTATAAACCCCCAACAGCACAATGGGCTTGCTGGGAACTTGTTCCAAGTCCATTGGCCCAAGTTCCCAAGCCTGGTTAGACTCAGGGACCAAAGTCTGTAGGCTTGGTTTTGACTTGTTTTAGAGACCGAAGTTGGCAGTTGTTCAACTTGTTATGGGTTTGGCTCCCCAAGTCCAACCCAAGTCCCAACCCCAAACCTACAGTGAACTCATGGTCACAAACCCACTCTAAGCTTGGAATGATGGATACAAAACGGGTCTGGTGGATTAAGCAGGCTCATTATGGACTTGTTCGGGACTTGGAGACCCAAGCCCAATTTTAGTAGGCTCATATTGGACTTGGCTTAGACTCATATTGGAATTGGTTTTAGCACATTTTAGACTTGGGCAAACAAGCTCACACTGATAAATTAAACAGGCTCATTATGGACTTGGAGACCCAAGCCCGCTTTTAGTAGGCTCATATTGGACTTGGCCTAGACTCATATTGGAATTGGTTTTAGCACATTTTAGACTTGGGCCAACAAGCTCACACCTATAGACTCACTCAGAACTTGGTACGAAGTTTTATATACTTCAATTACTGTAATGATCAGAGATAATAATAATAATTATTATTATAATAGGCTATAGTAATAGTAATATAATTTATACCTATTTAACATATAAGCTGTTTCACACCATTCATTTGCTAGCCCACATTTTTTCTTATGATTAATTTTTTACCAAGAAAGATTTATGATAAAATGAAGCCTATTTTATGAGTGATCTTGAAAAAATATTGGTTATATATGAGGTTTAGAAAGCAAGACATTCACATTTCAAGACAATTTATTGATATAATAAATACAATGCCCACTATCTTCCACTTCACCTTCAACTTCTTTTCTGAACCCATCAACTCCACCACCTGCTTCAGAAGATCTATAAAAAATACAATTGCATTAGAATTATTTGGTTTATTAAAATTTATCATTTAAATCATTTTTCATTATTTTTATTTGTTATTATAATTATTTGATTACTAGCTGTACCCGCGGGCTTCGCCCCGTTTAACTTCATAAGTATTCGCATGGCTCATTCACGTCCTGGTTGAAGTTCGTTCGCTACGCTCACTCACCTTTAGGTTGGAGCTCGTTCGCTGCGCTCACTTGCCTTCAGGTTAGCTCGTTCGCTACGCTAACTAACCTCCAGGTTGAAGTTCGTTCGCTACGCTCACTCACCTTTTGGTTGCAAATTAGCTGTTGTCATAAATAAAAAAAATTAATAGAGCTGCACCCTGTTGGTAATCCTTGTAACTTTTATGCTATTGCACATCGTAGAACAGAACCAACTTGTTTAATTGAAACAGCTGTTAAGATTCATTATTTCCTTTTAAATATGAAAAATCATAAGATTAACATGGGGAACTACAGAGCCACTGGGGCGGAGCCCGAAAGGGTTTTTGAGATAAGAATATGCTTTAATGTTAATCGGGAATGTGAGCTATCATCATGCCAAATTTCAGCCCAATCCGTCCAGTAGTTTATGCGTGATTGAGCAACAAACACACACACAAACACACACACAAACATACACACAAACATACACACAAACTCACAAACTTTCAGATTTATAATATTAGTAAGATTTGGAATTTGTTGGTGTTGCAAACACAGGGTGTTAACTTACCTTTGTTTTTAAAATTGTTATCAAACTTTTATTTCTTACTATTTTACTTTTATACGTAAACTAATGGTTTGGCCTGTTTTTATCTGTAGACTAGGTTAAGGCATTGACTATAATGGTTAAGGTTAAACACAAATTTTGGCACTGTTCTGTTGAGTTC